TAATTAGTAGTTACTATATTACTAGTATATTATTATATATGTGTGTGTGTGTCTGTCTGTTACATTCTAATAATTGTATATAATTAGTATTACTATATTATTATGTATATTATATATATATATATATATGTGTGTGTGTCTGTCTGTACATTCAATATTGATATAATCAATATTACATATTATTATGTATATTATATATATATATATGTATGTGTGTGTCTGTCTGTACATTCAATATTGATATAATCAATATTACATATTATTATGTATATTATATATATATGTGCGTGTGTGTCTGTCTGTACATTCAATATTGATATAATCAGTATTACGTATTATTATGTATATTATATATATATATGTGTATGTGTGTGTCTGTCTGTACATTCAATATTGATATAATTAGTATTACATATTATTATGTATATTATATATATATATATGTATGTGTGTGTGTGTCTGTCTGTCTGTAAATTCAATATTGATATAATCAGTATTACATATTATTATGTATATTATATATATATATGTGCGTGTGTGTCTGTCTGTACATTCAATATTGATATAATCAGTATTACGTATTATTATGTATATTATATATATATATGTATGTGTGTCTGTCTGTACATTCAATATTCATATAATCAGTATTACATATTATCATGCTCGTCACTAGAGCCACCAGATCCACCAAAAAGGATTCGCATCGTAGAAACGGCCAGTCGTTCAGTACAACTTGAATGGGATCCTCCTTTTGGTGGAAACAGTCCAATCACAAGTTATCACGTGTTCTGGCAGCCGACAAGATCCTCTGAAGGTAATAAATTTCTCAATTTACTTAATTTGTAGCCTAGCATGGTCTGAAGGTTAAGACACTCCGCTCGCAATCTGCGAGTCGTGGGTTCGAATCCCGTTACAGAACATTCTCGTCCTTTCATTCTGGTAGGGAAGTTCTATTCGTTGCTAAAGAGTTGACGGTCGGTGACGGTGATTAGTTGTTTCCCTTGGGAACGCCTACTGCACATAACCCTCGATTAGCTTTGCGCGAAATGCAACAGACAAATATTTTGTTTTTATAAATCTATATTTATTACAGAATTTTTTTTTTTTTTTTACAAATGTGTAAGAAAGATCTGCGACAATTTTGAGGTCCTTTCTTAGTAATTATGTAACATTGATTTTTCAATTTGAACCGTAAAGTCTGTAACGTACTCTCTTTTCAATCAAGTTTCGTGTTCAAGTCTCATTTAGTTTTATTATTCTTCATATTTTGAGAATAATGACGTCTATATTAATGCCTTCTCATCATAGAATACGTTAGGGTATTCTTAAATAAAAAATGAGTTTAATTTATACTTGAAAATAAATTTACTTTCATGCAAAATGAGTAAAATTTGTAAGTTTAAGTTCGACTATTGAAAACATTTTACACTTGTAGTTTATTCACCATCTGAGCTAAGATTTGTAGCGTTTTCGTGCTACAGTTAGCGCTATTCTTCATCTGGGCTAAGATTAGTACGTTTTCTATGGTTGAATTGGTATTTATTCCTCAACTGTCGGTTCTAATCCGTAATTTTAGTTGGTTTAAGTTCATTTGGTGCTATTCACAAGTCAAAGAAAGCGAGTTCACCAAACAATATTTTTGCATTTGCTATTTTTGCTTCAGAGTTCTCGTTAAATAAGCAAACAAATATAATCTAGTTTTCAAATAATTTAATGAGTCATTTGATTAATTTCTGTTTCATATCCTAAAGAAAACTATAGACCTATACATAATGCAACGGTTCCCACTAGTGATGTCACCAGTCGAGTAGAAAATTTGAAGCCTGCTACGTCATACGAACTATTTGTTACAGCGGAGAATATCATCGGTGTGAGCAAATTCAGCAACAAAGTATCTGTTACGACAGAAGCAGAAAGTAGGTCAACAATATTTCAGATAACAATATAGAAAGCTTGTATATTTGTTTTTATTATATTGTCCTATGAATAAAGCTCCTTCTTAATTAGGCTTAACACATGTATGTTATTAAGAGTTAAAACGACTGTTTCTGGACGTTAAAAAAAAGAAGAAAATACAAAAGTGTTAATGAAGATGACGGAGAAAATAAGTTAGTCTTGTCTAAAGATTCGGTTAAACATTCATCACTCAGGGCGACCTACTTCTAGGAGTGTTTCGTGACCATTGATGTATTAATACACAAATACTTAAATCATATTTTAAAGTTGTTGAATTCATGTCTAAAATAAACGTTAAAAGTTTTTAGAAAGTGTAAACGATAGTTTGGAGGTTTAAGTGAATATAATAGTGTTTCTTTTGTATATAAATATTTTAATTAACTGACTTTTTTATATCAATTTTGGGAGAATAAAGCAATCTTTTTAATTCTTTTTCAACATATGTTTTCGTGTTTAAATTTGAAGCTAAAGAACGTTATATTATTGAATTTATTTACACATTTTTTTACTTATGTGAAAAAAGTTCAGAAATCAATAGTTGATGCAACATCACAATCAGTTCCCGGTGGGTCAGAGGTGCGTTTGCGGATTTACAACGCCGAAATCCGAGGTTCGATTCCCCGCGGTAGAGAACGCACAGATAGCCCAATGCTAAAATCCAAAACAAACGAACATCACAACTGTGCCATAGTTAGTAGTCTTTACGACTTAAACATTAGATACTAATTAAGAACGGATATCACACCAGTCTTTCTAACAAAAAGACCAACGTTCGAATCCTGGCCACTACCACTAAATACAATCCTTATCAGGACTTCCCTGAAAACTAACAGATTAGCAGCCTAAACGTTATAAGTTAGTATCTACTATTAAAAACAAGTAACTGATTAATAGTACGACTTAGATGATTGAATAGACTACTAACAATGATAACGATTGATATCAAATCGCTACAGCTTTATCTCGGATACTCAAGCACAATTAGAGTATAAAATATGAAAATATATAAGATTGGTTAACATGAAATGTATTTATAAGCAGAGAACATACAAAATGACTACCCTTTTATAATATAACCAAAATTCTGGTTTAAAACCCTTTACAAGTGTTTTAGTGCAAAGCTACACAATGGACAATCTGCACTGTCCTCAGCGAGGTATCGAACCCCGAATTTTTTATTTATAAGTCCTTAAACTTACTGCTGACCCGCTGGGGACCTCTTTACAAAACGATCTGAAATTCACACACGAAGTACTACTGAAAATGTACCACGTAATCATAAAAGTCTACTTTTCTGAGTTTCTGCTGACCCGCTGGGGACCTCTTTACAAAACGATCTGAAATTCACACACGAAGTACTACTGAAAATGTACCACGTAATCATAAAAGTCTACTTTTCTCAGTTTCGGATTGTTTTTTTTATTATTATCCATCATTTATTTACTGTTTCCATCTTTTGTGGTTTCTGAGATTAAGTTTAAGAAAAAATGTAACATTCTGAAAATCCTTCGAATTTCGCTAGGATAAAACTCCAAACAAGAAAACTACATGTGTAAATGATTTGTTTTTATTTATACAGTTCCTGCTGGCCCACCCACCTCGATTACCGTTGAAAGTGTGACGTCAGAAGCGTTGCTAGTGTCGTGGCTAGTAAGTTGTTTGTTTTTACTCCATATGCTACTCTTAGATAGTTCTAAAAAACTATAGTTGTTCATTAAAAACAGTGTTTTGTGACTGAATTGTTGGTTTGTAATTAAGCACAAAGCTACACAATGGGCTATCTGTGCTCTGCCCACCACGGGTATCGAAACCCGGGTTCTAGCGATGTAAGTCCACAGACATGCCGCTGGGGGGGGGGGCACGCGACTGAATTAGAGCTGCATTTACTGTTCTACGATTAAGATAGTGTTAACCCTGAATTAACATTTACTGTTCTACGATTAAGATAGTGTTAACCCTAGAATTAACATTTACTGTTCTACGATTAAGATAGTGTTAAGCCTAGAATTAACATTTACTGTTCTACGATTAAGATAGTGTTAACCCTAGAATTAACATTTACTGTTCTACGATTAATATAGTACTAACCCTAGAATTAACATTTACTGTTCTACGATTAAGATAGTGTTAACTCTAGAATTAACATTTACTGTTCTACGATTAAGATAGTGTTAACCCTAGAATTAACATTTACTGTTCTACGATTAAGATAGTGTTAACCCTAGAATTAACATTTACTGTTCTACGATTAAGATAGTACTAACCCTAGAATTAACATTTACTGTTCTACGATTAATATAGTACTAACCCTAAAATTAATATTTACTGTTCTACGATTAAGATAGTGCTAACCCTAAAATTAACATTTACTGTTCTACGATTAAGATAGTGTTAACCCTGAATTAACATTTACTGTTCTACGATTAAGATAGTGCTAACCCTAAAATTAACATTTACTGTTCTACGATTAAGATAGTGTTAACTCTAGAATTAACGATGGAATTCATGTGGATCCCAACCGCCCTTTTAAGTACATTTGTTTTAAATATTTATCGACCAAATTGCTTATGGATCCACGATTTTGTTAGCTAATAACGTATGGGTCACGTAAATAATATTTAATTAAAAAATACCATTAATACTGTGATCCGTCCTATTAGTTTCTGAGAGAGTTCCGTTTGGATATTTCGTACAATTATTGCGGTTAGTTCTTTACATTGAGTGTTTTAACATCAAAAACATAAAACTAATCAACATGATACATAATACCATGTGTAGACCCCACCACCACCACCAGAACCTGTTTTTAAAAACAAGTAAAAAATCACTAAAACACAACAAACGTTGATTCTACAGCTTCCTGCTAAATTACTGTCACGTGGCCTAAGAAATCGTATGTTTTAAAAAAGTAGAACAAAAAACATGAGGTAAACAAAAATAGTAAATTCATAAACGTACGTCTTCATTTTAGAATAATTTATTGAGACCAATGTCCCTCGCTAGCTCAGCAGTAAGAATGTAAATATGGAGACTAGTAACCCGTATCTGACAGAATTCGTGGACGTTCGTATTGCTTTGAATTAAATGTCAGTTGGTGACAAAGCTCTCTTTTTTAAATGGTGTTCCGTAAAATCACTACTTTGTGAAAGTTTATCAAACAGATATCTGTTAAATTATCTGCTTCATAGATCTGCAGTTAGATAACATAACGTGTATATTTATTTATTTATTTTTAATTATTTTCATACTTTAGTTTTTGACGTAAGGAGTCGCCACCATAAAGTGTATATTTATTTCTTTTTATTTATTTATTTTTAATTATTTTCATATTTTAGTTTTTGACGTAAGGAGTCGCCAACATAACGTGTATATTTATTTATTTATTTTTAATTATTTTCATATTTTAGTTTTGACGTAAGGAGTCGCCAACATAACGTGTATATTTATTTATTTATTTTAATTATTTCATATTTTAGTTTTGACGTAAGGAGTCGCCAACATAAAGTATATATTTATTTGTTTTTTTAATTATTTTTAATATTTTAGTTTTTGACGTAAGGAGTTGCCAACATAACATGTATATTTCTTTCTTTTTTTTAATTATTTTTATATTTTAGTTTTTGAACTAAGGAGTCGCCCAAATTATTATTCTTGGAAACTTTACAAAGCAATACATTATCAGTTTGCATAAACTAAATACATGTTTCATATTTAAGTTTTTGACGTAAGGAGTCGCCAACATAACGTGTATATTTCTTTCTTTTTTTTAATTATTTTCATATTTTAGTTTTTGACGTAAGGAGTCGCCCAAATACGTGTATTATTCTTGGAAACTTTACAAAGCAATACATTATCAGTTTGCATAAACTAAATGCATGTTTCAAAACTTTACTCCAGTCTGTTAGTTTATTTGTTTTTGAATACTTTAAAGACCAAATTAAATTACATTTAAAAGAAAGGAGAAACACGAGAGTTGATCAACACATTTGGAACATTGTGTTCTGCCAGTAATCTTAAAAACGAAAACCAACATATACAATAAAACTGGAATCATTAGAGAAACTAATTCATAAATAAACTGACATTAAAAATCTGGTTGTACACAGCATATAAGACCAGACGTTCGGAACACAACAAACATTTTTATTTCCGGTGATGTTTAACACATAATATTAGATCAGAAGTAATACTGTACAGAATGCTGGTCATCAAATAACATTTTCCTCGGAAAAATAAAACACTTCAGATAAACATTGCAGAAAAACCATCCCGTATATCGAATTAACTACTAAAACGGAGATAATTAGATTTAAATTATTATATATTAAATGATAATTTTGGTTAATTTTAAATTGTTTGTAATTATATTACGAACATGTCTTTTTTTTTTGCCACGTATCTCAGATTCGATATTCGTTCTCAGTTGAAAGAAGTACGTAGCATTATAACGAGTGCAAGAATTCGTTCTCTAAATATTATTGCTCTAAGGCACGACCATTTATAATGAACAACAACAACAAAAATAGGTTGTAGAAATGTTTTGTAGTTATTTTAAACAGAAGAAGTTGCTATCAACCAGTTCAGGAAACTGTTGTTGTGTAGCTGTTGCTATTGTTGTTTAAGCAAAGCTACATTAGGCTATCTGCTGTGTTCGCTGCGGGAAATCGGGCCTCGGATTCTAGCGTTGTAAATCCATAGACTTACCGCTGTCCCACCGGGGGGACTATTGTGTAGTGTTTACCCTAACAGAATCCCCCAGTTTCAGCGATGTGTATATCTTCCCCTGTTTCATTACATTTGTATTCTCTCTGTTTCATTGTTGTCCTTCATCCATTATAACCATAAATGTATGCTGCCCTGTTCATTGTTGTCCTTCAACCATTATAACCTTAAATGTATACTACCCTGTTCATTGTTGTCCTTCCTTCAACCATTATAACCATAAATGTATACTAGCCCTGTTCATTGTTGTCCTTCAACCATTATAACCATAAATGTATACTACCCTGTTCATTGTTGTCCTTCAACCATTATAACCATAAATGTATACTACCCTGTTCAGTGTTGTCCTTCAACCATTATAACCATAAATGTATGCTGCCTTGTTCATTGTTGTCCTTCAACCATTATAACCTTAAATGTATACTACCCTGTTCATTGTTGTCCTTTAACTAGTATAACCTTAAATGTATACTACCCTGTTCATTGTTGTCCTTCAACCATTATAACCTTAAAGGTATGCTGCCCTGTTTCATTGTTATCCTTCAACATTTGTGACCGGTATCTGTAAGTTTCTCCATTTCATTGTTATCTCTCAACATTTGTGACTGACAACTGTTATATTCTCTGTTTCATTGTTATCCCTCAACATTTGTGACTGACAACTGTTATATTCTCTGTTTCATTGTTATCCCTCAACATTTGTGACTGTTATATTCTCTGTTTCATTGTTATCCCTCAACATTTGTGACTGGTAAATGAAACATCCACCGTTTTATTATAACCAATAAGCTTGTAAATGTAACATATATGACGTCAATGGTTTCAATTTATCTATCTCTGTCTTATTCGCAGCCACCGCCTGAAAGTGTGCGAAACGGGATGATACAAGGTTATTATGTAGGCTATAAAGAAACTAACTCCTCCGAAACGTATCAGTACAAAACTGTCGAAGCGGGACCCACAGAAGATGCCCAACTCCAGCGTAAACTCAGCGGACTGAAAAAATACACTCTGTACACGGTGGTTGTCCAAGCATTCAATGGAAAAGGTGCTGGCCCTCGTTCTGATCCTGTAACCGGAAGAACTCAAGAAGATGGTAGTGATATAATCTTTAAACTCAATCGTAATAAAGGAAACTAAAAAATACAATAAAAAATAATACGCCTCACATGACTTTCAAATTAATATAGACAGATTTTTTCCTGGTGTATTTTTAAATCACTGAGTTACTTGGTTACCTGAATAAGAGGGATTCTGTAACCACGCAGATGTTATCAGTTTGGAGTAAGTATTGATTTTTAACATCATCTGTATTTTTTAGTTTATTGTCTTTATCTTCTTCTAGTACCCACCCTTCCTCCTGGAAATTTAAGATGTATGCCTATGACGTCACAAAGTATTACAGTCACGTGGACTCACCCACCACAGTCGTCCATCAATGGAATATTGAAAGGATACAAGGTTGTGTACCGACCGGTAAAACTCTTGTACGGTAAGCTAATAAGAGTAATTGATAAGTTGACAGCACTCTCATCATATAACTAGATAAAAATCAGTTAAGATTCTCGTTAGAAACTGAATAGCCTATCATTTCTACACTGACTTGTACATAAGTAGGTCAACGGGGGTTCGATTTCTTGCGGTGGACACAGCAGATAACCGAATGTGGCTTTTCTCTATAACAAACTTAAAGAAGGAACTTTTGTAAAGATGTGTCTTTTTCGTTTTCTCCACTAATTGGTTTTCCATTTACTTTCGAGAATTTTTTCTTTCCAAAGTTTATCCTCTAAAGATACGATAGTCAAGAAATCAACTACTTTGACCACCACAAAGAAAAATACCAGATTAATAAAGAAATGTGTTTGTTTCGGTTATTCAGGATCAGCTACACGCCATCTATCTGCACTAACAGTCCCTAATGTTGAACTGAAAGACTAGAGGGAAGGCAACTAGTCAAAAGTACCCACCGTCAACACTTGAGTTACTCTTATTTGATCGAATAGTGGGATTTAACGATCACTCTTATAACGCACCCACGTGAGCGTGATTTAATGGCAAGGGAACTCCATACCCCCTCCCCCATGTTAAAGAAGAGACAGTTATTAGAACAATATTTTCATTCTATCACATATCACAAAGTTTTACACTCTCACAACAGCTCGATAAGACTTATTGCAAAGGTTTAAGCTGATGTCTGAAAAATCGAAATGGGTAGGGTATTCGAGGAACAATAACCACAAAATAAACTTAATGATTTAAAAATCGGATGTCTGAAATTATATTCTCGTAATCCTATTCACTTGAGTAAATTTTTAACATATTATGAGAACACACACTAAGTGAGTAGATATGTTACTGTTTTACTTCTTTTATAAGATGTAAGTACGTTTAACATTGAATCTGTTTTTGTTTTTTTTAAAGGATCCGTTTCTTCGTTTCTGGCGGAAAGTGATAAAACTGAAACTGTTCTACA